AAATGTCTGACTTTGTCACAGAAGCTTGGCAATTCCCAATTGAACCTCCTTATCTTTGTGGCTGTGTCAGTGCTGGGCCTTGCTGCCCCATCAGACGAGGTACTCCCTGAAGGCAAAGCTCTTTCCTTCTCTGACTTCTACCCTGCGTAGTAGTAGGAAGCAGGTTCTACCAATCACGGTGGCTGCGTAGTCCAGGAAAGAGGCAAAATGGACCCTGTTTCCATCTAAACACGGGCAATCTATATAATAAAAGCCTAAGCGACCGTTATGGCCGAACGACCAGAACGACCGGTTGCTATGATGTGCACTGACCACCAGGAGGCAGATGCTCAACACAGGAGCTGCCCCCTGGTGGTCAGTGCGCTCCCACAGGGGGAGTGCCACTCAGCCAGAAGCTGGGCCCACGGCTGGTGAGCACAGCGGCGGTGGCAGGAGCCTCTCCTGCCTCCATGGCAGCGCTAAGGAGCAGCGAGCCAAGCGGTAAGGAGCAGAGAGCAGGCAGGCGGTAAGGAGTGAGGGGTCCCGGACTGCGAGGGCGCAGGCCAGGCTGAGGGACCCTCCCCCTCCAGTGCTTAATAAATATCCTAGACCCAGAGTGCTTGCTTGGCAAGGTCATCTTCAGCTCTGGAAGCACTGCCACCGCCCTAGTGTCCCCTGCCCACCTATCCCACCCCCCCTCCTTCCTTCCTGGATCCTTGGCTGAGGAGTTAATTGCCCCATAATCCACATGCACAGATCCAATCACACATCAGCCTGGGCTGTGCAGCAGCCCCGTGTTCAGTGTGGGGGTGCCTTCCTCTCATCCCGGCAGAAGGGAGTTCCTACCCTCTCAGTGCTGTAGGTTTCTCCACAAAACATCCCAAGAGAAATTAATTCACTTATTTGTCTCTCAAAAGGGAGAGCTGACCCTGCCACAACTCCCTCTTTGCTCCCAAGCCAGCCCGCTCTCTCCCCGACATCCCCAGGGATGCGGTTTTCTCTTTTCCTCTGGTTCCTGCTCAGCTAATAATAACCCCCATTCTCTTCCACCAGGAAGTTGCTCCAAAGTGGCTCCATCCTCCCAGGGCAACTCTTCCCAAATGCTGTGTGGCCTTGGGGACAAAGCTCACGCTTTCTCTGGATCTCACCACTTCCTTACCCCCACCCCAAAGTCTCTAGCTTCTTCCTCCCTTAAGGGGAAGGGTGCTGTAGAGCCCCCCCCCCCCCCCCCCCCCCTCACACAGATGGTGAACATGCATATGGAGAAGGTGGCCCGGAGGGAGATCGGCACCTTAGCCACCGTCCAGCGGCTGCACCCCAGCCAGAAAGTCATCGCCCCCGAGAGCCTACCTCCCCTGACGCCCTACTTCAGGAAACCCCTCAACTTCGGTTGCCTGGATGACATTGGCCATGGGATCAAGGTAGAGACAGGGCCCCTCCTCTCTCTCCACCACCTCCCCCCCTCCTTCTGCCTCACTTTCTCTTCCACATCCATGTTCCTGTCCCCACTTCCTGAAGCCAACCCCTCCTTAAAAACCCCCCATGACCGGCCTTCGCCCTGAACTCAGATGGTCTGCTGAGACTGACATTTGAGCCGTGGTGCTGGCGTGTGTGAAGGGCAAGAGGAGGAAGGGCGGTTGTCGGGGTGTGCATGAGAATGGCTCCCTGGTCACATGAGAACGGCAACTTCCTCTGTCTGGAGGTTTGAGGTCACAGCACTGAGAAGTCACCCCAGAGCTACTGTGGGGCGAGAAGGGGCAGGGATGCAGCCACTCAAAGGGGACATGGTGAAGGCAGGGGAGCAGGACTCTGGCATTTTCTTCTCTGTCCATCTACTGAGAGGGGGGCAAGGACACCCCCCCACCCCATTCGATCAATTCCTGGCCCCACACTCCAACGTTCCGGGTTAGATGAAAGTCCCTCTGTATCTAAACGGCCCCTCCTCCTCCTCCCATATCCTTAACATACCTTTCCTTCAAAGGGGGGGAACTAAATCTCCCCTGCAGGCACCAGGCCTCCCCACCTGTCCAGCTTAAACGCTTTAGGATTCGGCTAAGTTCCTGTGTCTTGACCCCAGTGAAGTAGAGAAGAGGATGTCACTCCCTGTGGACCCTCCCCTGGGGAAACCCTATCATCACAGAGGGGCTCTCTTGCGCGGGCTCGCACCTTGTCATGGGTACACCCCACTCTATCGTGTGTGTTCTGCTCCTCTCCGCCTGAACCCCAGAGCCAGGGCCACAGGCCCGCCAGTGGGACTCTCCTAAGCGTGACGGTCCCTGCTTTCCCACGCCTTCCTCAGCCCAACGCCGAGGCTGGGGTCGGAGTTAGGAGCCACCAGGCTGGGCGCTGAGACGCTGTGGGAGGGGGTGAGGGGGCCCCGCAGCCGCGGAGGCCGTGCAGAGGAAGTGGCCTTCAGACTGTCTGTGCTGAGGTTTCCGTGGGGCCGCGGCAGACTTGGCGCCCAGGCTGTGAGCAAGACGGGGTGGGGTGGGCCGAGAGGGGGCTGGGAAGTGGAAGTGGGAACTTGCAGGGCCTCGCTCTTCCTCCCAGTCCCTGTCCGCCCCTCTCCCCCCTTCTCCTCTCTCCCCGGTGGGATGAGGGAGCTGGAGGGGGCGGGGGGACTCAGCTTCAGCCCAGCCCCGTCTCCCCGCAGGACCTGAGCACGCAGCTGTCGAGGACCGGGACCCTGTCTCGAAAGAGCATCAAGGCGCCGGCCACACCCACCTCTGCGACTCTGGGGTGAGGGCACGCCCGCCGAGACCCAAACCGGCCTCACATGATCCCCTCCCCTCCCTGCCCAACTTCCTCCTCCCCGCACCTGACCACACCCTCCTCCCTCCTCCCCCCCAGGCGCGCGCCCAGGATCCCGGAGCCCGTGCAGCTCCCCGTGGTGCCCGACGGCAAACTCTCCGCAGCCTCTTCTGCCTCTTCCCTGGCCTCGGCTGGGTGAGCCCCCCAAGCCCAAGCCGGGAGTGGCTGTGGTGGGATTGAGGGGCCTCCTGCCAGCTGTCACGATGGGTCATAGGGGCGGGGCCCGTTGGGGAAGGGGTCCCCCAAACTAAACGCCCCTGCTTTCCCTGACCTCCAGCAGTGCCGAAGGTGTCGGTGGGGCCTCCACGACCAAGGGGCAGGCAGCACCCCCGCCCCCTCCTCTTCCCAGCTC